AGACCCGTCCCCTTCTGGCGGGTACTTGAACGAGTTACGCGGTAACCAAACAAATTTTTCACAACTTGCTCACCTTCACATCGACCGAAAGTAAAACTAATTGCTGTAATAAATAGTGGTTCATTGTTCGGCTAATATTTTTTTCTAATTGGGTGCCTTGCTACTGCTTTGTCTCTCATAATTGTCTATTAAGTTCACTGTCTGGATCAGACCAGTCTCTTGTCTTTCACCTTAAAAAGTATCAGCAGACAACACGCAAAAAATCTGAAAAAATAATTTCAAAAGGTCGAATAAGCCCTATTTTTATTTTTTCATTCAGATCTTTTTTAACACTCCACACAGAAAAAACTATACTTACTATGTGCTATTTCCACAGTAACCGGATAACCTTGTATTTTTTTTTGGTTCACTGGGGAAGGATGCATTCTAATAGGCTTTTTCCAAAAAATAAATACGCCGATTAAGTAAAAACAGGCTACTTTTTGCACAATTGTTTTTGGCACAATCCAAGAGCTGTGAGAATCGCTTGAAAATTATAATTGAAGTGATCCGCCTCTTAAACGATGCACTGCAGCATGCACATAAATGTCTGACCATTATCACTTTTCAGAGAGAACAATTTTTTTCTTAATCGATCGGTTTTCTTTAATTTTTTAGGTGAGCTGGAGAAGAGGATGAATTCTGTTTTACTTTTTATGTAAATAAGTACACCGGTTAGTCTACTAGGATATACTTAACAATTTCCCCCTGTTAGAAAAGGGGGATAGTTAAGTAGGTTCAGCTTGCAAATTACTAGCAAAATAGTCGAACCTTCAGCCAATCAGAAAGCAGCAAATTCTGAAACCGAGAAAGTTCTAATTGCCAACTGCTGTTACACTTAGCAAATAAGCACGTAACATGAACTTAGCAAATGAGCAAGTAAATTATAGGGGGGGGGATTCTTGAGAAGGTACCATAGGTGGGTGGGAAATTGTTAAGTAGATCCGTCTACTAACATCAGCCTACTGTTTTCACAATTTTTTCAACGAAATCCTTAGCTGTGACAGCTGCTGGAAAAAGTGAAATTTTAAAGTGTTTTGCATCCAAAACAGCACCATTCCGCCTCCGTTTCCGTTATTCAAACGTATCGTTTGTGGCATACTTCCACGCAATGCTTTTCAATCTTAAATCGTGGCCAGTTGCCAAGCATCCAGTTTCGCGCTTTTGCTATAGCGAAGCTCCTAACCAATGCTGCGATGACTCACCTTTGAGAAGTGTCATCAGTCATACGTCAAAATAATGAGTCGCTCCAAAATGCTTAATTAAACGTTTTTTTTTCAAGTTTGTTTATTCAATTGGTCTTAATTAATAATCAATTAGGAGAGAAATAAATATGATAATTGAATAGATTATCAGTATAACTTCAGTTTAATTATAATATTGTTTTTTTTTGGATTTATTGTTGAATGAAATTTGCACTCATATCTGTTTTCAGAAAATAATTTCGAACTCTCGACATCCACAGAGACATCCGGCTTTCTGACAGATGGCATGAATGGTGCAGACCTGAGAGAAGGGACTTGTGTACAAACTGGTTCTGTGTTTACATTTGTAGGCACAATGATCGTTTGATTGACATTTGGTTATAATATACCACGACCAGAACGATTTGAGAAACCCCCACCTCGTACTAGTACGTCTTTTTTCTGCTCGCCTGAAATCACACATTGAACATATTCAGCTATTCAGTATTTTTTGGAGAGATGTATTTAGGATCTTTTTCAGTACGACACCTTGTTAATTACTTCCTGTATGCCTGTAGTACCTAGTAAACAAATTCCACCGCCAAAGAGTAGTATAACAGTTAGATTATGAAAAAAATTAAAGTGTAACGCTCGCCACTTTTTCAATAGGGGAGGGGTATTTAACAGCATTAGGTTCCTCTTAATGATGCAAAGCAAGACAATTTGTGCATTATGAGATCCAAACTTACCGCAAGAATTTTCTTGCAGCTTCCTTAGCAATCTCACGATGTTTACTTTCAAGCGATTTGGCCCACTGTTCGCGAAAACGTTTTGCATCTTCTTTTGAATATGGCTGGCTCATTCTGTTCTTGGTTATCGGTCTTCTTGTTTCTGAACAATTGATCTGAATAATGCATGAAAATAAGAAGAACAACAAAAATAACAACATATTTAATTTCTTCATTGTCAACCTAAGAAACTTGACCCGTGGAAAATCTATTTGATGATAACTTGATCAGTGGAAAACATCAATTAAACAAATATCACATAATTTGTATTTTAAGCATGTAGTTCACAAAAGTTGCGAACTTCATAAAAGTTAATAAAATTGCTACTTTACCGTTCAAGGATATCACGCAGATCACAGCTATTATCGACTAATTTTAAAAAGATTTTCAAATTAAATTTATGAAGAGTCTTGAGGAACATATAGGAGCCATATTGGCATAATTTAATTATCTAACCTTGCTAATGAGGGCAAAAAAATTGAAATTGATGGATCAATCGAGTGCTTATTGAATTAATCCAATTTAAACATTAATTTTTCTTGATGAAATCGTTTTTTTTCTGCTTTTCGAAATATATGCTGAAACTTTTCTGTTATCATTTTCAGCTCTTTTTCTTAAGTAGCAAAATTTGGACAACCTTTTTTTTCACTACACCAAACATTTTCAAATTTAACTATTTCAGCTAAATTCAGCAACTTTACTGCCACACTTTTAAAATAACTTAGTAGATCTGAAAAAAATTGTTCGGGTTTGCGAAATTAATAAGCATGATTCATTATTCAATTTTTTTGGCAGAAAAATAAAAACTTGAATGAAAAGAAGACGGATTTGATCTAGACATTGAGCTCAACAAGATAAGCAAAATGAAGGCTTTTCACCGGGAGTTGAACGAATTAGGCGGTAGTCAATTAATTATTTCTCAATTTGCTGGCTTTCAAATCATACAAAAATAAGGCTAATTTCGGTAATAAACAGTGGTTCACTCTTCGGTTAATAATTTTCTTCTAATTGAATGCTTTACCAGAGAGACTACTTTGTCTCTCAAAATTATCTAATAAGTTCACTGTCTGGATCAGACCGGTGTCCTCGTCATTCGCCATGAAAAGTATCAGCAGATAACACGCAGAAACACTCAAACTAAATATTTCAGAAACCAAAAAAAAATCAACCGCCCTTGCTTTATAAATTTTTTACCTTATCGATAATTACAATTTTCTTTTTGAATTAAAAAATTTTCGTGCAAAGCTATGATAATTTTGAAGTTTTCGTTGCAAATTTTTTAATGCTCAGATACGAAATAATAACATTTAAGTAACAGCCGTTCTCGTTGCTATAAGCTTGTAGTTTACTGACGCTAGTCACTTTTCTACTCCAAAAAAATCCTGTTGGTTTATTTTTGTTTATTTTTTTTGTGAACTGCCGGAAAGGATGTAAACTTCTTTGCATTGCTTTTCAATCTTGATGCGTGGCCATCTGCTAAGCATCCAGTTTCATGCTTATGCTAGAGTGAAACTGCAATCCAATGATGCAATGCTTCACCTTTGAGGCATGTCATCAGTCTTAATGCAAAATATAAAATCGTCCCAAAGTGCTTCAAAAAACGTTTTTTGCTTTTTAATTTTTGTTTTCATTAGTTTTAGCAGAGTCGACTTCCGTAACCTAAGAAAAAGCCGTCCCGATCCAAATTTGAGAGTTCCATACTAGCGTGACCGGCGCGACTGAAAAAAAAAACAAAGCGAACGGCGCGACCAAAGAACCATCGGGGTTGATGCGACATAAAGAAATGAGGCGACCGACAAAAACTGACAAATCAAGACCAGCGCGAGACAGAACAAACCACCGCAACCTGCGGAAATGAGCAAAAAAACCAACAGTATTTCTTGAGTCGCGCCATCAGTCATTTCTTAAGTCGCGCCGCTAAAGTCTTTTCGTAAGTCGCTCCGATAAAATCTTTTGTTAGGTCGTGCCTCTACAGTCTTTTCTCAAGTCACGCCGCTAAATTATTTTGTCAAGTCCGCCGCTAAAATCTTTTCTTAAGTCCGCCGCTAACGTTTTTTTAAGTCGCGCGGTCAGTCTTTTCGTAAGTCGCACAGCTAAAATGTTTTCCTAGGTTGAGCCTTCAGTTTTTTGTAAGTCGCGCCGCTAAAGTTTTTTCTTAGGTTGCGCCGTCAGTCTTTTCATAAATTGCGCCGTCAGTATTTTCATAACTTGTGCCGCTGAAACTTTTCCTCAGGGTGCGCCGTCAGTTTTTTCGTAATTTTTGCCGCTGAAGTCGTTTCTTAAGTTGCGACGTCAGTTTTTTCGTAAAATGCGCCACTGAAGTCTTTTTAAATTGTGCTGTCATTTTTTTTTATTAAATCGTGTCGCTAAAGTTTTTTCTTAAGCTGTGCCGTCAGTCTTTTCTTAAGTTGCGCTGCTAGTGTTTTTCTAAGCCACGCCGTCAGTTTTTCCGTAAGTGGGCTCACTAAATTCATTTCTTAAAATGCACCTTAAAATGCTTGCGTCTTTTCTTAAGTCGCGCCGGCAGTTTTTTCGTAGGTCGAACCGCTAATTTTTTTTTCTGAAGTTGCGCTACTAAAACCTTTTCTGAAGTTGTGCCGCTTGCGTCTTTTCTTAAGTTGCACCGTCAGTCGTTTCTTAAGTCGCACCGCAAATGTCTTTTCTTAAGTCGCGTTGTCAATTTTTTGTAAGTCGCCCCGTATTCTTAGTTCGTGCCGCTTAAGTCTTTTCCTAAGTTGAGCCGTCAGTCTTTTCGTAAGTTACGCTGTTGAAGGGATTTTTTTTAATCGTGCCGTCCGTTTTTTCTAAAGTTGTGTCGCTAAAAACTTTTCCTAAGTTACGCCGTCAGTATTTTCGTGAGTCGCGCCGCTAAAGTATTTTCCTAGGTTGCGCCGCTTAAGTCTTTTCTTAAATCCCGCCGTCAGTAGTTTCTGAAGTCGCGCCGTCAGTCGAGTCAAATGAGAAAAAAATCAAATATATTGAACTGAATAGATGATCATCACCGATTGAGTTTGTTTAGTCAGTTTGCAGACATATCCGTTTTCAAAAGATTCTTTCAAACTCTCGACATCCACAGAGACATCCGGCCTTCTGACAGATCGCATGAATGGTGCAGAACTGAGAGAAGGGACTGGTATATAAACTGGTTCTGTATTTACATTTGTAAGCACAATGCTCGTTTGATTGACACTTTGTTATAATATACCAGGACCAGATAGACTTGAGAAATCCCCACCTCTCTTTTGTACGCCTTCTGTGTGCATGTCTGAAATCACACAGTTTGTTAAGAGTTATTTAAAGTAATCATAAAACTTGCTAGCAATTTAGATTTCTTAGTAATTTATTATTATTATTCAATAGCAAAGAACTGTAACAGAAATATTGCTTATTCTTCTAAGGTGTGAAGTTTTACAGGCAACGCGCATTGATAATTATTATGGGATCAGCCAGTTTTTTACGTTTTCTTTTTATGATCCGCCGGGGTAAGAAATGTTTTGTAGATCCGAACTTACCGTAAAAATTTCCTTGCAACTGGATTAGTAATCTCGTGCTCCTTTCGCTCAAGCGCTTTGTGTTTTATCTCAACCACTCTGTCGTAGTACTCCCGCAGTCGGTGTTTTGGAATTGTTTGTCGGATTCTATTCCTGGTTTCATTAATCGGTTTCCTGAACCCAACATTGGTTGCGTGAACCCAGGTATGAATGATGCATGATAAAAACAAGAAAAACAAAAACAACGGATTTATTTTCATCTTTAAATAATTAACTTACTTTTTCAACTTACCGGGTTGACGTCCATAAAAGAAAAATGCTTACCATACAATTTCATATATGGCGACTATGGAAAAAATGCTTATCATACAATTTCATATACGGCGACTATGGAAAAAATGCTTATCATACAATTTCATATATCGTGACTATGGAAAAAATGCTTATCATACAATTTCATATATGGCGACTATGGAAAAAATGTTTATCATACAATTTCATATATGGCGACTATGGAAAAAATGTTTATCACACAATTTCATATATGGCGACTATGGAAAAAATGCTCATCATACAATTTCATATATGGCGACTATAGAAAAAACGCTTGTCATACAATTTCATATATGGCGACTATGGAAAAAATGCTTATCATACAATTTTGATACAAAATTTTAAAAATATTTTATTTTTTAAAAAATGAATTTTTTTTGTTAAAAATTGTATAATTTCAAGCTTTTTATTTAATTCCATACCATGTAAAAAATTGCATATCATAATATTCCATAGTATGAAAAAAATGCTTATCATGCTATATTCATAGTACTTTTTTTGGTCTATGAAATAGTATGAAATAGTATGATAGCATTTTTTTCATACTATGAAATGGTATGATAAGCTTTTTTTGTCAACCCGGGTTCATATTGTTATTATGTTAGTAACTATAAGATTCATTCGACTGGCGGTACTGGTGTTTTAATTGACATTTCAGAGGAAAACACCAACTGAACTAATATCAAAATATTTATACGAGAAATCAATAATGCCATTTTTGTAGTCTTTACCTCATCAACAAATACACCATAAAGACTAAACTCGGATCAAATTCATACTTTTCTCCCCAAAAGGCCAATTTGAGATCCGACCTCTAATTTGCTTTGTTGGTTTAAAATTGCTCAATGTTGCGTGCAATGTAATCATATCTGTTTTGCAGAAAGCTTTAAGTTTCAGCCCAACTAACCTCCTCCTCGCGAGTTAAGGAAAGGATAATCAGTTGTTCAAAAATGAGAAAATTTATTTTTCAAAAAATAAGTTTTATTTTCTTTAAAAAATGAATACGAAAAACTAAGATTGATAGATCAACCGAGTGCGTACTGAATCTGTCTTATAAAAGTTTTCATAATTTATCTTAAATCAATATCTTTTTAATCAGCATTTCGAAGAAAAATATGAAAATGTAGACGCTCATGGCTTTTTAAATCAAGTCCTGGTAAAACTTTTGAATAAATTTTTTTGACCAACTTTTGAAGATTTTTTTTTCACTCTGATACAAGTTGATGTTTTTAGTTCATAGCCAAACAGTTATTTAGGCTAAGATAAATGTCTGTATCAATATGGAATTTAGAAAATTGTCAGTTTGAGTAGTTTGGAATAATAAAAGCTAGCTCAAAATCCAGTTTCTTAAAAACCGAGTAGCTTTGGCGACAAAATAATTTCAGGGCAAAATCTCAATTTGAAAGATTTTTAAGTTCATTTTTATCATTAAATGGCTTAGATTTGCATACTGGCGGGCAAGCTTTTCAAGAACACATTTCTGCTCAAAAAATGCTTTTCTGCTCAATGACAAGCATTCGGAATTGAAATAATTAACTCAGATGAAGCCTTCATCCCAATCCGCGAACACAAAAAAAACGTTCAAAAATGAAAGCTTTAATTAATGAGTTACTAAAAATTTGAAGTAAAATAAGAGTGGTTGAATACAATTCGAGCACTAAAAATGAAATCTACTGTTCGTAAATGGAGCTTTAGATCGATAACTGAAATAATTAATTGATGTTAATAGGCTGTAACTTAAGGAAACTTCATATTTGTGGATGCATCAAATGCAGAATTTAGATGATTTTGTAAAGTTAAGAAAAACTCAACAATGAGAAAACCAAAAAAAAAAACTCGGCCAAAAAATATCGATATTTGATGGCTGTTTCAATTTAAGCTCAAAATTGTTTTTATCAGAAGTGATTCTAATTTCAAAACACACCATCATTACCAAGCAGAAATGTGCTCTGGATACGCGCACCAATTGGTGTGTGTAAGTCACTGGAAGCCAGAGACAAATTGTATGTGAATACAGCTTACAAAACTTCCGTAGATTCCGCGGAGATTTACCTTGAAACATAAATTTTGTCGGCACTTCAGTTGTGTCGCGGACTCCGCAACAAGCAAAAAAGCAAATTGGACTAAATTCCACGTATGTAGGAAGATTCAGAAAATTGTAAGCGGGCTCAGCGAGTATAAAGGGAATCTGCAAAATGTAAAATATCGAAGTAATGAATAGATAATTGCTTATGTATTTCGCAAATTGTTCTGAATTCCGCAATTTTTGTTCTTAATTCCGCAAAATGAGTCGACTAGGCTAATTAGACCAGCTCACAATTCACAAAATACACAGTTTGACCTCGTGATGATACAAAGATTATGAAATCATACAGAATTTTTTGGCTCAAACGGCAAAAACGTCTAATGGTTCTCAAAATATAAACTATAAGGCATTTCAGACATTTTTTGAAAAAATAAGACGACCACAGCGTCGAAAAATGAGCGGATGCATGAGTTGACGAGACTCGATAAATGTTCGGAGCATGGTCGATTACGGTCATTCAGGGCCATTATAAGAAGCAACTGGCGTCGATACAAGAGAAGAACGGGCTCGATACATGAGTCGAGCACATTTCGTACTTCAATCAACAAAAGTTGATACACGAGTCAAACACAGTCAATTAAAATCAACCAGGGTCGACAAAGGTCGACAAAATTTGAGCATGGTCAAAGAAAGCCTACCAAATTTGCTAAAGTCAACAGCGGTGATAGATTAGCTTAAAGTTGGCATCAAAATTTGTTTTGGTTAAACATTAAAAATAAAAAACTTGCCCTATTCAAATAAAAAATGCTCAAATAAAAAAATTATCCTATTCTATTAATAGAAAATTTCAAAAAATTATATTAATTCAAGATTAAAAAAAATTCCGCTGTACAGCAAAACTTTGTGAAGGTTATTGTAAGTTTAAAATGACTCAGTGATCCCGCCCGGAATGCAAAGTCTTAGATGTATTTTTTTTTGAAAAAACAGAGTTTGTTACTTGCCCCTAATAAGTTGGGAAATAATTGCAAGGTTTCGCGTGGTAACGATCATAAGTGAAGCTAATCTAACGATAAAGTTTTTTTTGCCTAGTTCTTTTCTAAAAAGTTTTCGCTGCCAATTTCCAGAAAACAAAACATTTTGAAAAGTGCTGAGGGTGTCCTCTCCCAATTTTTTTAAGACAGGAAATTATTGTATAACTAGCGGGTTTTGCAGCCGAAAACCTAAAAATTGATTTTCCAAAGTCGGCAGATATTGCTGTTCGCTATACCGGTAGCACAGAAGTTGCCACTCACCATTATAGCTGGAAAATGTCTGAAAAAAACTCTGTCGGAGTTCGGAGTTTTTTTTGCCACATTTGAACTTTAAGCAGGAATGATTGTTTTATTAGAATGAAATAGTTTTAGCTGTTCTAAGATATGCATTGAAAACTGTCAAAATAATTATTTCTGTGAAATTGCAACATTTTCGACGAAAAATAAACTGAGTTATTGATTTTTGAAACTTAGTTATGGCAAAAAATGGGTTAATAAAAGCAAGTAATATAACTTTGGATTAGTTATTGCGGGTGGGAAGAATGCTATTAAAAAATTTACAACTGTTAAAATTCAAACTCTTTTGAATTTTTTGAAATTTTTATTTTTGAGTTTTATAGTTTTTAGACAAAAACATGTCTACCGACACTTGAAAATTTCTGAACCATTTGAAAAGTTTGTCGATAATAAAAATTATGCTTAACAAGTCTGAAACTAATTGAAAACTGAAAGCCTGACTCAAATGATTCTGTTGCTGACCTTCTATAATTCTCCAAAGCCTGATTCATGAAATGGCGTGGATGTTTTTGACTGTTTTTGACAAAATCAAGAATACCCTTTTCTCGTTTAGTAAGCTCATCTTTGTTGAAGCGATAGGGTCTGTCTCTCATAAGATCTTCCAGTGTCCGTTTTTTGCCTATCGTTTTATCAAATATTATGAAAATCAAGAAAATAAGTATGGTTTGAATAGCTCGCATATTGAATCGAAGTTATATTTTGAATATAATTGGAAAGTTTGGGTCAATATTAATTTATATAAACAATATCGTTACCTTGGAATGTTTGGAAGATTTGGGTAAAGAAATTCAAACTGCAAAACAGTTTCTTGGATGAAACTATCAAGCAAAACAAAGAAATCATTGGTATTTTACCAGCAGAACCATTTCTCATTTAATAAAAAAAATGTCGTCGAAAAATTTTCTATATGATCAGTGATTTTCAAAAACATGCAATATGCAATCACATTTTTTAAAACAATTAACGCCAAATAAACATTTAGAATATCTTAAAAAACAAAGTTGTATCATGACAAAACCTTGCGTTTTCTGACTCTTATTAAATTTTTCGGAAGTAGTATTTGGCAGTTATTTGGAAATCATTTTTGAGCAACAATTGTGATTTTTAAAAAGTATTCATTTACACTTGTCGCGATATCATTTACCACTTGATAAATTATGAGTATCCTTGGCGCAGTATTTGGATCAAAACACCGAATAGTTTTTATATAAGCAAATTCGAATTTCATTTAACTCCCGTTGCTATTCAAAACAAATATTTTCAAATTAAACTCATTGAGAGGATAGAAAAGGCGTGGATTACATTAGTGGTTTCCATAATATTAGCTCAATTTTATGGCAGTTAAAATCCTCATATATGGTGTTAATGAATAGGATGGTAAGAAGTGGTTGGTTCGACGACCTCTAATGTTGTTGATAACACTAAAAATTCACTCGTTGAGCAACTTGTTGTTAAACTGAAAAAAGCTCCACAGAACTCAACTTTTCTACGTAGGTGCCCGGAATAATACAAACGTGAACGTGTTCATCTTATTTGTACGAATTAAGTATGTAAAATCTCGAACAAAAAATAACCAATTTTGATATGGTATACTACAAATTTCGGCGGGACTGCAAACTCTGCGGAAGACTTTGAAGGCGTTTACCTTAAGTATTAGCAGAATATTCAAATCGGGCCGATGCAAAGAATGAAATGTTTTTTTTTTAAATAAGCAGAATTTTTCAGTAGTACGTTCAGGGCTTCTAGTTAGCATCAATATTTTTGATGATCTGAACTCTATCAGAACTAGAATATCTATATCATATTCAGATCCTGGAGAATAGCCCACAGCTTGTGTACGGATAGATATTCTAGTTCTGATACAACGCAGATCAGAACTACTGACGCTAACTAGGAGCACTGAACGTACTACTGAAAAAACTATGCTTATTTAAAAAAAGGTACTTCATTTTTTTTGCATCGAGCCGGTTTGAATACACGTAACACTGGACTTCCCGATTTTTTACATTATAATCAGGGACCTACTTATTTCACCCTAGTATGGGAGAAAAGCTCAAATTTGTGTATAGATATAAATTAGATCTACACACAAGCTTTGAGCTATTCTCCCGGATTAGGGTGAGTAAGCTAGGTCCATGAGTACAACGTATTCAAAAAGGAGGTGCCATGTTAAGACGTATTCAAATCGGGGCCGATGCAAAGAATGAAAAATCTTTTTTAAATAAGCAGAATTTTTTCAGTAGTATGTTTAAGGCGTCTAAATAGCGTCAATAATTTTGATCTGAGTTGTATCAGAGCTAGAAAATCTCTATCTATAAACAAA